CTATAACATTATTTCTGTTGTTCTTGTTATTTGTATCGGCATTTTTTTATGGTATTATAATTTATTTTATTTTTTTTCATATTGTTTGGTTTTAATGTAAATTTTTAATATGTATATATAAATATGATTTTTTTTTGTATTTATGTGTGTGTGTCTCAACTTTGGTGTATATATAAATTTGGTATAATAGGGTGTGTAGAAATGCACTTCTTAAATTTTTAAATGGTTTGGGGTTTAAAAGAAAATATATGGGGAAAATCGACAATTTAGATAAAAACCGAGAATGATGCATTTTTGTAAATAAAACTAATTTAAAAAAGAAAAATAAAAAAATAATTAGGAGTGATCGGGCCAAATCTAAAATTCAAATGGATCACAAATAACGTAAAATGTGAATAACTTGTTGAGATGCCTAACTCAAAGTTTGCCTCTACTAGCAAACAGGCCATACAAAATCGCACAATAAATTGGAATTCATTTTTTAAATTCGAAATATTTGTTGAAGACCCCATAAAATGTATACATTCTGAGTAACAGTAAGTGTCTAAAATGATTTGAATTTCGAACAAAATTGGACATGTGTTTATAACAGATATGGAAGTTTCTAAAACACTTAACTTTTTTCTGTTTATACCGCGTTTTTTGTGCTAGGCTAAGAACTTTCCGAACTGTCCTCGTACATTGCTACTACTCCCAGTATGTATATTGGTGACTGGATACATCGGTTTGGCATAGCCCCCATATAATGAATTCGAAGAGGTTGTAATTTGATATTTCAGGATCACCTCGATAAAAATTGTTACATGTTACTTATTTTGAACATCCTAGCTGACTTTTCTGAGTGTCTGAAATTTGACTTCGTGGAAAATGTTCACGTTTATTGCAGCTCCATATAAAGCAGTTTTAAGATTCCAAATCTTTTTGGGTTTTCAATTGGGAACAAAGTTTCTCACAGATTCTAACTCCTACATAACGGTACTGTATTTTTAAGGTTTTCTTATCGGTCCTGACTCTAGTTATGCATATCAGGGTACCTCCTCGCAGAAAATTTCTCTATATGACCATAGATCCTCACTAAAATAAATAGGTCCGATCGGGGGCAGTCATGTACATATTTAATGAGTATTTAACCATGGGCTTGCAGAATACTTAAGAATGAGGGACTAAAACTTTGCTTAATATATTACAACATTTTGAAAACATTCTTTATGCCGAAAATTTGATTTCCTTAAGTCGGGAGCTGCGAGGCGAGAGATGCCCTAGCTGTAAAAATGAATGATATTTGTCAAAAATCCTACATAGGTTTTTGGAAGAAACTCTATCGGAACTAAATTTTTCATAGAAGTTCTCATGAATATTGTAAGCACTGGGACCTCTCCCAGGAAGGTGCAACAGCTAAGTGATGTCGGACCTCAATAAATAGCTTGGAAAGAATTTTAAAAAGAAACATAACCTTAAATAAGATTTCTGCTACATCTTCTCGTTTGGTCGATTCGAAAAAAAATCGTTCCTTTCCGACACTCCATGAATATTCTGTGATCTCATTACGTAAAGCTATGCTCTTCTATAGACAGAAGTCTTCTGGACGCCTTCATCCGATTAGAATTTTAGATCAATAGATTGTATACCTTCAGCAAAAAGAAGAACTTCCAGAAATAGGGTATAGTCGTTCGGGCAGACCACTTGAACTACCATTCGTCACGTTGGGGCAAGATTTCGCGACAATTGCGACTTCTAGTGCACAAAGCAATATTAGAAAATTTAGACCTAAATTTAGAATTTAAAAATTTGGCCAGGTAAAGCCATGATTATTTCTTGGCCAGAAAATAATGAAATCAAATATGTATGGGCCAATCTATACACTGACATCAATTTAGACGTTGTCCGAAATGAATGAGGACGGAATCTATTCAAAGATTTTTTAAGGGTTATCCGGATTATAAGATATTTAACGAATATACCCGAAACATTCAATGAATTATCCTTGAAAATTTGCATATAAATGGCTACTAATCCTAGGATCGTTGTTGGTATAACCTTCATATAACGGTCAAATTTTTTCTACGGCAGTAGCTGCAATTTGGACTCTTGTTGGAAATTATACAAATATGTCTAGGTTTTGACAATGTGGTTTTCGCAAGTGGAACTACTTCACCATTTCGTTCCATACTTCACTTTAGTTCAATCGTTTATCGGTACACGCCAGTTCAGTGAACGATTGAATCTCAAGGAATAGATGAACGAAAGAGCCGAAGCTAGTGTCGATCGTCCCTCGTTAGGAATATATACATTGAATTCACACGTCATTTCAGACATTGAACGGAAAGATCTCGATAAACACTTGTACCAAAATGAGACAAAGTTCATTCATTTCGTTTTATAGTTCCTTTTAGTGCAATTATTCTTTGAAATATGCCAGTTCATTGCGTCAATTGCATCAAAAGAAACTAGATGTAATAGCCGAACCTAGTACAATTCGTTTCTGGTTCAGAATAGTTACTTTGACTTCAACACTCCAGTTCAGACATTCAACGGGAAGATCAGCGATTGATCTGGAAGATCTAGATGAACAATTGGATCAAAGGGAGACATGTGTACAAAAATCCGAACGTAGAAATATTTACTTTGAATTCTGCATGCCAGATCGATCGGCTAATTAACATGAAGATGTATATGAACTATTGGGTCAAAGGGAACTATATGAACAAAAGAGCAGTATTAAGTACCAATAGTATCTGACTTAGAATAGTTACTTCGAACTCAATACTTTTGAACACGAAGATCGGTTAATGAACGGAAAGATTTAGATGTACAATTTGGATTTAAAGATCTAGATGTACAAGAGAGTCCAACCTAGAACCGATCGTTCCTTATTAGGAATAGTTTCTTTTTAACTCAGTTCTTGGGGGCACAAAGACCTGTAATTCCTCAGTACATCATTGAGGGACTATTTCTATTTCATTGAGGGCTATTTCATCAAAATATGTGGCACTATAGCCTTCTGTATATCGAAGAAATTCTATACATGTTCCATAGAAAGAAGGTCTTCTTTATATAGAGGATTTACAAATGATTTCTATAGATATCATACCATTAGACAGAAGATCTCTTAACAGTCCCTATAGAAATTAAATTTTTTATCTGCAGATAGGATAACGTCTATCGGACATTTATAGGTAGGACGTTACACTAGGATGGGGAAAAATCCTTTATTTTTATATGAATTATAGGACTTTATTTAACATGCATCGGAATGTCCGATTTGGGCTAAATATGCACCGCTTTGTTGTGTGATTTGTTGCCACTTTAAAGGTATTTCTCCGATTTTATCGACATTTTCGACGACCGGCCTACCTGTGCGAAGTGAATCTTTAACATCAAAAATTCCTGAACGAAATTTGTGAAACCAAAATTGCATATAATTGGCTGTTACAGTATCGGAAACATAAACACCATTCACAATTTTAGCCGTTTGTTCCGAATTTTCTCTTTGTTCCCTTCCATTTTTAACACCCTGTAACTCACAACTGAATGCAACAAACAAAAATCAGCAAAATATTTTTTTAACTGTGAAATGTCACCCATCCAACGAGCATAAATCGATACTTTACGAGAAATCTTTCAGTACAGTCATCTGCCGAAAAATAATGGATTATTTTTCCCCAACCTAATATTTTTCAAACAGAAGACCTTATATGAATTTCATATGGCTGATATCCGATATTCTGTTGAACTTCATCCATTTCTAAAAGGGTTTCCAAATAAAAATTCTTAAAAATTCCGCATTTCTTTAAATGTGATGGGCAATGTCTGTGTATGTGTGTTGGTGTAGATGTGTCTAGTAGTGTATCCTTTTGTCCTCTTTGCTTTGTTTTTTTCTTTATCGACTAACATATACACATGCAATATGTATGTATGTACATTAGAATGGTTGGTGTCTAGACTACAATCATCGTATAAAATTGTCATTATTTGGTATTTAATTATTTATTTATCATAATTATTATTATTAATATTTATCATTATTAAATGTATTTTTATTTTATTTGTTTTTTTTGTTGGTAGGCAAAAATATATATGTTATGTTGTATGTATACATTATAAAATGAGTATATTTGGTTTGGTAGGACAACTACGGAATTGTATCAGTAACCGGCATAACTATTCTGTTTTTTCTGCTTCTTTCTTTTTTCGGCTTTCATTTATTTTCAGATGTTTTGTTTTTATTCTTATTTTTTTCTGTTTTGCTAAATCAGTCACTTCCGTGTTGTGTTCACTTTTGTTTTAAAAATATATTTGTTTTTATTTTCTTTTTTCATTTTTCAATTTTTTATTTCTTGTTAATCGCTTGAGTAGAAAATGAGCTAAATTATCTTCTTTTTTTAGTTGTTGTTGTTGCTGTTTCGGTTCAGATAAGTTTTAAGATTTATATAATTATAATTTTTATTTTTTGTTGTTGCTGCTGTTATTTTCATATATTTGCATAGTTTGTCTAGAAGGGAAGGTGGCGAATTACCGTGTGTTAGAGAGAGAGAGGGAGTTTTGGAGAGGGTTCTTAATCCCTTAAAACCTTCATCTCTGGACTTGGCAATACTGGATGTGACGCGTTCAATGCAATGCCATATAAAGGACCCGGTAGAGGATAAAAGCAGGGATCTCGGGTGTAAGAGTGTATCTGTTTGTTTGTTTTTATAACCACTTTTGCAGGTTTCCTTTTTTTTTAAAAAAAGCTCAGCATATTTGTATTTTTACCTTTACCATATATTTTGGGCATTTTGAATATTTGTGGGTTTGTGGTTGTAGTTGTAGCGGGTTCAGGAACAGGAATCGTTTAACGAGAAATTTTTGGGTTTCATAGAATTTTGTTGTTGTTGTTATTTTGCTTCACAATTATTTGCTGTTGTAGGCATTAAGTTTTATTAATATTATTGTTGTTTTGGTTGTTGTTGTTGCTTGTTGTTTGTTTTTAAGATTATTCTCCATATTTGTATTTTTAATTATTATAAGAATTATTCGAATAATAATAAATTGTTGCAAAGAAATGCTTAAAATTATGACTAGACTTAATTTAGGCGAATACTCAGTAGATCATCAGTCGCATTCGGGTCCATCGGAAAAGTGACCGCGCACATCGAGCGCCGTTGCCAGCTGGAATATAATATGCGACAATGTTGGATGCTCTAACAGTTCATTGGATGGCAATGGTGGTTCACAGCGTGGTCTCATATGTCGTCCCCGGAAACCACGATGCAGTCTCAATACAACATCACAGAACACAAAGCGTAGAATGAGGGTGCGGAGAAAATCGTCGCCAAAGAATTGCACATACGATGAATCTGCAAGAAAGGGAGAGAGAGACAGATTTGTTAGATATCCGTTTTTGGCTAAAATTCAGGAAATTATCGATTGTGAATTAATCGATAAATGGTACAACTTTTATGAGGCATTTTGAATTTCAATTTCGAGAGGTCAACCCAATTGTACAGTTGCTGAGAGAATAATTATTCATGCTGAGAAATAGTTATTTATTTAATCTACTACATATCCATTATATTTATATGGACAAATTAGACTCGAAGGACCAAATGTTAATTTGATTTTAGTAGGAATCAGATTTGGTTTTAAACGCATCAGAAATAGAGTTGATCAACCTCTTCAATCAATCACATTCGACAGCAATTTGATATTTTTAGTTTTTTCCCCAAAACGATTTTAGGTCCTTTTAGTTCAATCAATTCAATTATTATTCAATTTAAATATTATTCATATCAAATAGTAGATTAACTCCATATCATATTTGTATGGACAGCTTGAAAAAGTGAGGTTCGAAGGACCAAATGTTAACAATTTTTATTTTTCATAGGGATCTGATTTGGCTTTAAACGCATCAGAAACTGAGTTCAACAACCAGCATTGCTCTCGCTTTTTAATATAGACTTGGACAATCTCATTCAAAAGAAATTCGATATTTTTCGTTTTTTTCCCAAATGGATTTTAAGTTCAATCGTTCAATAAATTCGAACATTGAACACTATGAACTAGATGAAAGATTGGATCAACAGGAACATGGTTAATGCTACCAAAAGAAACTAGATGAAGGAGAGAATCGTACCTGGTACCGATCGTTCCTTTTGCAGAATAGTACCTTTGAACTAGTTCTTCTCTACAGACTTTGAAGTTACGAAATTTACGTTGGTGACAAGCAGATTAGTCACAGAAGATATGCAAATAAAACGTCTGTTTGCAATTTTATTGGTCAAAAATTAATTATTTATGTAATCTATTTGTATGGATAGCTTGAAAAAGTGAGACTCGAAGGACCAAATGTTAAAGAATTTGATTTTTGGTAGGGATCTCATTTGACTTTAAACGCATCAGAAACGGAGTTGATCAACCAGCATTGCTCTTGCTGTTCAATATAGTCTTGGATTATTTGATATTTTTCGTTTTTTCCCCAAAAAAATTTTAGGTCCTTTTAGTTCAATCATCCAATTAATTCGGTCAATGAACGCGATGCACTAGTTGAAAGATTGGATCAAAAGGAACATGGTGAATGCTAGCAAAAGAAACTAAATGAAATAGAGATTCGTATCTAGTACCGATCGTTCCTTTTGCGAAACAGTTCCTTTGAACTACTAGTTCTTCCCACTGATTCCAGTGTCGGGAAACTTACGTTGGTTGTAATCAGATTAGTCACAGAAGATATGCAGATTTAACGTTTGGAGCACCGGAAATGTTGGAACACTGATTTCAATTTTTTTTGTTCTGGAACTCTTGAAAGAAGTATGCCGGGACCTCAGTGTATGAAATGTACTAGTTATTTTAATCGACAGGGTTTTAAGCATCTATAGAGTGACAGGACGAAGTAAAGAGTGCAATATTTTGTGTACAATAATCTCTCACCGAAATTTATGATGGGTTATTTTTCGGAAGCGCTAAAACATGCAAAGAGTTGGGATCTGTCGGAATTTCTATACTAGTCACATGCTTTAGCCATCCATAATTCCTAATACCTAGTAAACGATGGTCTCCCTACTAAAGTCCGTTAAGGATGTGAACTGAGATGAAGCATTACATCCTTCCTTGCATAGTTACCAATTGCAGATCATCCGAAAAATTGTCTCAGTAATTTTAAAATTCGGTTTTTCGAACATTTCTAAAGTGAGAGGACGAAGCAACTAGTACTACCTAATATAAGATATACCAACGAAGAGGGACTGTTTGAAGGGGAAGAGGAGGCGGTGAATATTGCAATTTTCGTTAGTCTAGAAATACTGGTAACGTACTCCCCAAAGACCTTAATGTAGTTCCTGAAATCTGGAAAATGGACAAGCAGGCGCCCCTACAAAAGTCAGTCAGGCAAAGATATCAACTCTGGTGACTAATGACCAGGCCAGGAAAATCCGCTACCGACAGAACTCGAGAGAATTATTTTACGGTAATCTACAGAGACCTCAATTTATTATCCGAAACCAGGAAAATGGCCTGGCTGATCCCCCTAGTGTAGTCAGCAAGGCAAGGATAACAGCAGATGCGATTTATAGGGCTCGATCTCATTTTCCTTCCACATAAGCGAAATGCGTTCCTTAAGTACCATAACAGAAGGGCTGGATCCGGTGTTCACATAACGAACATGGTTTTCATATAAAAAATATAGTGAATATCTTGTTGGGGAACTCTTGTGTAAAATATTTAGTTAAACAAGGATCTTTTTCATATACAGTGGAGTATGGTAGTTCCGGAATAAACTAGTTCATTGGAACTACTCCGAGAAAGGAACGATCGGAACTAGTTCCAGCTCTTTAATTAATATAGTTCCTTTTTTGGTCTCATTATTTTTTCTGATCTCGTTCTTCTCACTGATTTCTTGTTGGGGGACTCTTGTATAAAAGATTTAGTTAAACTAGGATCTTTTTCATATACAGTAGAGTATGGTAGTTTCGGAACGAACTAGTTCATTGGAACTACTCCGAGAAAGGAACGATAGGAACTAGTTACAGCTCTTTAATTAATATAGTTCCTTTTTTTCTGATCTCGTTCCTCTCACTGATTTCGTTCCTTTATTCTCACATTCTTCTTCAGAGAAAGATTGATCCGCAACGTGAAATAGATTGCCCAACTCTGGTATACAGTCCACATGAGATAAGATATTATTATTGTTGAATGTTTGTGCACTAAAATAAGATAGAGTTTTCTATTGCCACATGTGGTATGTGGCTATCGATGAAATAGATACGACTGTTGTAAGTCCATATATGACTTTATAGAAAAGTTAGTTAAGAACGCACCCGATGAAGTGAAAGACGATCTGGTGGTACGGGAACGGTGGATGGAGATATTGGCGAAAACTTCCGATGTGGCAGGAGGGTTTAGGCCAGTCCAAGAACAAATTGACGGTCTTCAAACGGTATTGGAGGAGACGTGGCAAAATCTTAGGTCAGCGAAGGTTGTATACAATATGCTATACGAATGCTATGTGGCGGTGTTACGCTCAAGAAATAAGGAGCTAGAAGTTGCTCTAAAAATATAGGAAGACGCCAATGGTTGCCTTAAAGAAAAAATGCCGGCAAGGAATAAAAAGGCTAGAGATACACTCTCGAATTGGACTACCAAGATCACAAGCTTAATGGTGAATGCGCACGATTACGAGATCGATTAGGAAAGGATAACAGCAGAGCTTCGAAAAACCTGGGTTGCTTAAGGTCTTTCAACAATCTCCTTATGCCACATAACCAGCACCCACTTACCTATATATCCTTGGTCAATTTCATCTATGCGACAGCGTGTTACTAAACGGGAAGCTTCTGTTATAAAATGATCCACATACGATTGACAGCGTTCCCAGTGATGGATGGGCACATCGCCGACATTACAGATATAACACAAAGCGGTGAGTGGGGAGTGCAGGAACAAAGTAAACAAGGAGCCATGGTGTTGGACTTCAGCTGAAAACACAAACAATTAATTATTATTAAAAAAAAAACAAATAATTATTATAAAATAGCTACCCTGAAATGCTGGTGGTACATCCTGAGGTGACATGAGCACAACCAATGGTTGGCCAAAATAACGGGGTATATGTTGAAAAACAAACGAATTATCCGAATCTATGATAATGAACATGGGTCTTCGCGTGAAAGGATACAAATCTCCGGGATACAGGCAATGGGTTTCCTTGTACGATTTCCCTCGACACGCCAAACCGCCGCCATCAACACCATCACGTTTAACACTTGTGGCCAGGCCACCTAATTCGTAGCCATCTAGGGAGAAGCAGAGAAAACATTTATTTTTTTGAAATATGTTGTGTTAGAGAACTCACAATCTTCGGGATGTTTGGTGGTTGAAAAACAACCATCTGCTGACATGTATAAGAGTAAGGCGCCTCCCGGAGGCAATTCTTTAAAACCGCTAGCTAAAAACACCAGAAGCTGGCTAATCGAAGGCTTATACAATAAATACTTATGAGGATTGTCACGATAATGGCGGCTATTCTCCATATAGCCCTTGGAACCTGGAACACCATATGGCGGTATACGACTGGCCGCAGGACTGGCGTCGTGTCCATGCATGCCATGTGAAACACTCATAGGATGTGTGGTTTCGGTTGGTTCCCTTTCTAACGTTTGTAACATTCTGCAAGGATATTTCAGTTAGTTTTTTATTGATTACTTTTAATTGGGAGAGGGAGTGGCGATGGCTTACCTAAACATATCCATTGTTAATTCGGAAAATTTGGCCTGCTCGCATGCCGAGCCCACAATCAATATCTCCTGCAGGCTCAGCGTCATGTGCGGTGATCTTTCGCATGGCGGTGTTGTTAGCGGCGACAACCTAGAACCGGAACCACTACTCATCAATGGGTGAAGTTAACCATACTAAAAAAGCTCTTGCTAAGGCCCGTGCTTTCACAGAAGAATTGATTTGATGTGATGCTAATGAGACACTTGTGATTTCTTTTTTCTTTTTTGCATTGAATTTGAATTTTCATCATCAGGTGGAAGCGTTTGATGGCGACATTCAATGTTGTGGGAAAGTAAACCTTCCTCTCTTTTGTGATTAGAGGTTATAGTAGGTGTTTGCCCCCATTAAATGTCGTATCGAACACACAAACATACACCTTCTTTATAAAATTTGTTTTTTTAATTTAATTATTTATTCTTTTATTTTTTTTTCGAACAAAAATGAAATACTGAACGTGCAAGAATTTTTGTTAGTTTTTTTGTTTGAATTTTTAGTATTATCATGTGATTTTTTTTCAATTACTTTTTCGGTGATTTTATTAGAAAAGATGCGATAAAATTGTATTTAAAAATAGGTTATAAAGTGGCGAATAGGATTAGATCCCGGTAATAAAATTATATTCTTTCGAAAATCTATCGACAGAGGGTGAAGATTAGCAAAGCCCGGGATCATTCGTAAAGCCAGTGAATGCAAATATTCAACAGTAAGATCCCGGATTACCCGCTGCATCAAAAGGGTTTACCCAAGAACATCGAAGTTCTCAAGAAGTTGAAAGTAATATTTTTAACGAATACAATCATCCTTCATCCACCACCACCTTCTTTCACAGGCGAGTGTTTGATTCAAATTCCCAATCGAAAAACAAAATCCTGAATGACTAAAGAGGCTGACAGAGGATGTTGGAAGAACTTAAAAAGGACTTTGACAATATATTGATGTCTCCTAAGGGTTTTCAAGGCTCCTTAGAAGTGGAAAACAATTTCAAGGGCCATTAGAAGTGAAGATTTTTAGAAACTTAGATTTTTTAAAGCATTTTTTACGTAACATTAGAAGCGTAGATTTAAATAGGGGTAGATTTTAGATTTTTAAAGAATATGTAGAAGCCCAACAGAAGCGTAGATTTTTTGAAGAATATTTTTCAAGGCCCAAATGCCCGCAAAACGTAGATTTTTTAAACAATACTTTTAAGGCACAACCAGAATCGTAGTTTTTTGAAAGAATATTTTTTCAAGGCCAACAGAATCGTAGAGTTTTTATAGAGATTTTTAAAGAATATGTTTCAAGGTCCATTAAAAGCGTAGATTTTTAAAGAATATTTTTCAAGGTCCATTAGAAGCGTAGATATTTTAAAGAATATTTTTTCAAGGTCTATTAGAATCGTAAATCTAGTGAAGAACATTTTTTCGAGGCCCATTAGAAGCGTAAATCTAGTGAAAAATATTTTTTGTAGGCTCGTTAGAAGCGTAGATTTTTTCAAAGTCCATTCGAAGTGTATATTTTTATACCCTTTACCACACTGTGGCACAGGGTATTATGTCTTTGTGCATATGTTTGTTACAGGCAAAAGGAAACGAGATAGACACATGGTTCCTTTTGAGAATATGCATAGAATCACTTTCCGAGTCGATTTTACGCATGTCCGCATGTCCGTCCGTCCATGTATTTTTGTGAACAAAGTACAGGTCGCATTTATGATCCGATTTGGATGAAATTTGGCATAGGTCACTTTATTGGCCCAAGGAAGAACCCTATTGAAATTGAAAAAATCGGTTCAGATTTAGATATAGCTCCCATATATAGTTTTGCACGATTTTAGATAAATGGTGCACCAAAGTCTCTATATATATTTCGGTTTGCACGAAATTTGGCACAGCGTAATGTATAAGGTCTAGAATGATGTGTGCAAAGTTTAGTGAAAATTCAGATTTAGATATAGCTCCCATATATATTTTCGTCCGATTTAAGGTAAATGGTGCACCAATGTCCCTATATATCATTCGATTTGCATGAAATTCGGCATAGAGTACTGAATTGGGAGCAGAATGATGTGTGCGAAGTTTCGAGAAAATCGGTTCAGATTTCGATATAGCTCCCATATATAGTCTCGTCCGATTTAAGGTAAATGGAGCACCAAAGTCCCTCTATATCTTTAGGTTTGCATGAAATTTGGCACAGAGTACTGAAATAGGTCCAGAATGATGTGTGCCAAGTTTTGAGAAAATCGGTTAAGATTTAGATATAGCTCCCATATATATTTTCGTCCGATTTAATGTAAGTGATGCACAAAAGTCCCTATATATATTTCGAAATTTGGCATAGAGAACTGAATTAGGTCTAGAATGATGTGTGTTAAGTTTCGTGAAAATCGGGTCAGATTTAGATATAGCTCCCATATATATTTTCGTCCGATTTATTGTAAATGGTCCACTAAAGTCCCTATATATCTTTTGATTTGCACGAAATTTGCCACATCGTAATAAATTAGGTCTAGAATAATGTGTGTTAAGTTTCCTGAAAATCGGTTCAGATTTAGATATAGCGTCCATATATATTTTCATTCGATTTAATGTAAATGGTCCACCAAAGTCCCTATATATCTTTCGATTTGCACGAAATTTGGCATAGCGTACTAAATTAAGTCCAGAATGATGTGTGTTAAGTTTCCTGAAAATCGGTTCATATTTAGATATAGCTCCCACATATATATTTTCGTCCGATTTACGGTAAGTAGTGTACCAAAGTCCCTTAATATCTCTCGATTTGCATGAAATTTGACACAGCGTAATCAATTAGTTCTAGAATGATGTGTGTTAAGTTTCCTGAAAATCGGTTCAGATTTAGATATAGCTCCCATATATATTTTCATCCGATATAATGTAAATGGTGCACCAAAGTCCCTATATATCTTTCGATTTGCATGAAATTTGACACAGCGTAATCAATTAGTTCTAGAATGATGTGTATTAAGTTTCGCGATAATCGGTTCAGATTTAGATATAGCTCCCATATATATTTTCGTCCTATTAAATGTAAATGGTGCGCCAAAGTCCCTATATATCTCTTGATTTGCACGAAATTTGACACAGAGTAATGAATTAGGTCTAGAATGATGTGTGTTAAGTTTCCTGAAAATCGGTTCAGATTTATATATAGCTCCCATATATATTTTTGTCCGATTGAATGTCAATGGTGCACCAAAGTCCCTATATATCTTTCGATTTGGACGAAATTTGGCATAGCGTAATGAATTAGGTCTAGAATGATGTGTGTTAAGTTTCCTGAAAATCGGTTCAGATTTAGATATAGCTCCCATATATATTTTTGTCCGATTGAATGTCAATGGTGCACCAAAGTCCCTATATATCTTTCGATTTGCACGAAATTTGGCACAGCGTAATGAATTAGATCTAGAATAATGTGTGTTAAGTTTCCTGAAAATCGGTTCAGATTTAGATATAGCTCCCATATATATTTTCGTCTGATTTAAGGTGAATGGTGTACCAAAGTCCCTTAATATCTTTCGATTTGCACGAAATTTGGCATAGCGTACTAAATTAAGCCCAGAATGATGTGTGTTGAGTTTCCTGGGAATCGGTTTAGATTTGGATATAGCTCCTATATATATTTTTATCCGATTTAATGTAAATGGTCCACCAAAGTCCCTATATATCTTTCGATTTGCCCGAAATTTGACACATCGTAATGAATTAGGTCTAGAATAATGTGTGTTAAGTTTCCTGAAAATCGGTTCAGATTTAGATATAGCTTCTATATCTGACCAAATGAAACATTTAGTGTCGATTGCAGAATGACATGTTTATGGATCCAATTTCATTCTTCTGATCCTTTAGAAATGCGACGTCTGTTAGGATTCATCTGTTGAATATACCCAAAGTGGTGAAGGGCATCATATAGTCGGCCCCGTCCGACTTTAATACTTTCCTTACTGGTTTAAATAATATTTTTCCATGTTCCATTTTTCGAGGCCCATTAGAAGCGTAGAGCTAGTGAGGAATATTTTTTGTAGGCCCTTTAGAAGCGTAGATTTAAAAACACAAACAGTTTTTCATTGTCCACTAAAAGCGGATTTAAGGATGTTTTTTAAGGTTTAAGGGGTATCATTCTAGAGGCCCATTAGAAGCGTAGATTCTTTAAAGAAAAATGTCAATGCCCATTTAAAGTGTTGATACTTTAAAGAATATTTTTTAGAGACCCAGAAGGGTAGATCTTTAAAAAAATATTTTTCAAGACCCAACAGAAGTGCAGATTTTTTTCAAAGAAAAAATGTTCAAAGGCCGTTTGAAGCGTAGATTATTTAAAGAACATACTTCAAAGCCTTTTAGCCTCGTAGATTATTTAAAGAATATTTTAAAAACACCCATTAGAAGAGTAGATGCGCCGATTGTTGAAAAATTATATTTTCAAGGTACATTAGTAGTGTAGATTGTTTAAAAAATATGTTTTAGGCCCATTGGCAGTGTAGATTTTTTAAAGAATATTTTTAAAAAAAATCGCATCTTTTCTAATTCGTATCACAATTCAAATAAAAATTTTCTGATATGTATGTAAGTGTGTTTTTGTTGTTGTTGTGAGTGATTGAAAATTGATTGGTAATGTGGGTGTATGTTTGGATGAATGAGAAATGAGTGAGATGAATGAATGACTGAATGGAAAAAAGGATAATGTTAAATGACTGACATGATGTATGTATGTGTGTGTGAGTTAGTCAATGAGTGTAGAGGATTTTGAGAAAATGACATCAATGGGGAAATGGAATTGTGAGTGGGTGAGTGATATTTTGTTGTTTCAAGTCTTCTGTGATAAGCACAATATTATTAATAAATACTGCCATTTGAAAAATAGTTTTGGTTTTTTTGTTGCATACATTGCTACATACATATAAAAAATAGTTACAATAAATAATTTCAAAAAACAAAAGCTACTAATATTTGGTGGCTTACAAAAGGGGTTTAAACTAATTAAAAAATATTGTAAAGCATAACTTGTATACCTCCCAAAATTATATATTTTGAGTTATTATTATTTTTTTTTTGATTTGATTTGGAGTTACAAAATTATAAAAAATTAAAAAAAAAGATTTTTATATAATCGAAAGAATAAATCAATTTTTCTACTAATTTTTTTCTTGGTTTTTTTTTAATATTCAATTTTCCTTCCCAAAGAAAGCACGGGCAAAATATTGGGTAAATTTGCCTAATGTTTGTTGACTAATGTACCTGTGTGATAGTACGATGGGATTGGAATCCGCATGAAGAACGGCCACGGCAGCTTCGGCTTTAATAAAACCCTTAATCTCTTCCAAAACTAATGACCATTCTAAATGGTCTTCAGGTTCATAACTGAAAATAAAAGAAATTAATTAACACAAAAATTTTTAAATTGTGGAACACATTTCAAATCTGCAGGGAGGCATAGCCCCTTCTTTGGAAAGCAACTCTTACGTGGTGGTATATTCCTGTATTTGTTTTTCCAATTCGGTAACCAATTCTCGCACCAATTTCATTTTCTTCAATAACAAACAAACCACAATAAATCGAGCATAATAGCGCAGCTTTTTCACCATCAAATCGGGACGATCCTCCTTGATCGCTCTCGAATAATAGGCTCTACCTCTAATAGCTGCATAAAATTGATACGCTTCATTCAGGTAATTCGTTTCACTGGTTCTTAAACTGCAATAAACAATAACGAGAAATTAACATGCGAACTTCTCAAGGCCCGTGTTCCGTTCCGATCACTTACTAGTAATGGTAGTAAAGCTGTCCAATTTTACTTGCAATTTCACCAATTTGCCACCGCTTCAAACCATATTTCGAATCCAATACCATGCGATGCTGTTGCTGGAATTTCCATAGTTTCGTGTAGACATCGAAGGTCCGTCCAAAATAGGCCTGCCATTGTCGATGTCCATACTGGGGTAAATCTCTGTAAAAAGATAGGCTATTTTAGAAAAGAGAATATTGAATAGAACAAAACACAAAAAAAAGAGAATATAGATTCAATAATATCCAAGAGAATAGAATTCAAAACTATTACAAAACAAATATACATTTAAAGAAGACCTTATGTGGGTCATTGGGGGTCCCTCAATAAAAGACCTATAGAAAATCTTCTAATTCTTAAAGAATAACGGAATAATGGTTCGCATTTTTATACCCTTCACCACAATGTGGTACAGGGTATTATATCTTTGTGCATATGTTTGTAACAGGCAAAAATAATCGAGATAGACACACGGTTCCTTTTGAGAAAATGCATAGAATTTCTAAGTCGATTTATGCATATCCGTCCGTCCGTCTGTCCATGTTAAATTGTAAAGAAAATACAGGTCGCATTTATGATCCGAATTGGATGAAATTTGGCACAGCTCATTTGTTTGGCCCAAGGACGAACCCTATTGAAATTGGGAAAATCGGTTCAGATTTAGATATAGCTCCCATATATATTTTCGTCCGATTTAAGGTAAATGGTGTACAAAAGTCCCTATATATCTTTCGATTTGCACGAAATTCGGCATAGCGTACTGAATTAAGTCTAGAATGATGTGTGCAAAGTTTCGTGAAAATCGGTTAAGATTTAGATATAGCTCCCATATATATTTTCGTCCGATTTAAGGTAAATGGTGTACAAAAGTCCCTATATATCTTTCGATTTCCACGAAATTTGGCATAGCGTACTGAATTAAGTCTAGAATGATGTATGTCAAGTTTCGTGAAAATCGGTACAGATTTAGATATATATATATATATATATATATATATCTTCGTCCGATTTAAGGTAAATGGTGTACAAAAGTCCCTTTATATCTTTCGATGTGCACGAAATTTGGCATATCGTACTGAATTAAGTCTAGAATGATGTGTGCAAAGTTTCGTGAAAATCGGTTCAGATTTATATAGAGCTCCCATATATATTTTCGCCCGATTTTAGGTAAATGGTGCACCAAAGTCTCTGAAAATCATTCGATTTGTACGAAATTTGTCATAGCGTACTGAATTAAGTCTAGAATGATGTGCGCAAAGTTTCGTGAAAATCGGTTCAAATTTAGATATAGCTCCCATATATATTTTCGCCCGATTTTAGGTAAATGGTGCACCAAAGTCTCTGAAAATCATTCGATTTGCACGAAATTTGGTATAGCGTATTGAATTAACTCTAGAATGATGAGTGTTAAGTTTCGTAAAAATCGGTACAGATTTAGATGTAGGTCCCATATATACCTTCGTCCGATTTAAGGTAAATGGTGTACAAAAGTCCCTTTATATCTTTCGAATTGCACGAAATTTGGTATATCATACTGAATTAAGTCTAGAATATTGTGTGCAAGGTTTCGTGAAAATCGGTTCAGATTTAGATATAGCTCCCATATATATATTTTCGCCGATTTTAGGTAAACGGTGCACCAAAGTCTCTGAAAATTATGCGATTTGCACGAATTTTGGTATAGGGTACTGAATCAAGTCTATAATGATGTTGCTAAGCTTCGTGAAAAGATCCATAAATATAATTAGTCTCTGGCAAGTTTCCCCGAAATCGGTTCAGATATAGATATATAACAAACACGCGACGTCTGTTAGGATACATATGTAGAATATACCCAAAGTGGTGAAGGGTATGATATAGTCGGCCCAGTCTGACTTTACGACTTTCCTTACTGGTTAAGAATATTTGTTCAATGACCAAAACAGACGTGAATTTAAAAACATGTGAAAGTCCGGACCGGACCGGTTTTGGTATATAATATTTCTAAGGAATCAAACTGGGTTTCAGAATTTAGAGAATATTTAAAGAACAAATTTTTAAGGGCCTAAACAGGCGTGGATTTTTATACCCTACACAACTATGTTGTCAGGGTATTATAGCTTTGTGCAGTCCCAAGAGTTTGTAACACCGCGAAATATTAGTCCTAGACCCACCTTTAGGCATGTATGTCCGTCCGTCCATTATAATTTGTAAACTCGATACAGGCCACAGTTATGGACCAATCTTCACGAAATTTTGCATGTAGGATGGGTTCTGGCCAATGAAGACCCCTATAGGGGATGAAATGGACCAAATACTTTAATTTTGTCTGATTTTCTGGTCGCTTCAGAGGCCGCAATTAAGGCCCAAACATCGCGAATTTTTACATGGAGAAGGGAATCGGGTCAAAAAATAAGCATGCCTGTTTTTAAAAAAAATCGGCCAATATTTGGCGGGTCAAATGGACCATGACTTTTGTGTGAAAAATGACAAAATTTGTATTTTATAGCGTATATATTTACCCTTAGGGGCATATACCCGAGAAGTTGATAGTATATCCAAGAGGAGGGGTTGACGTATAAATCGTATGAACTCGGATGTGGGAGTTGCACTTAAATATTTACAGGTGCTTACGTATTCAGATATTATTTAGTAACCCATTGCCACACTAGAGTGCAGAAATATAGCGCTGATCGCTTTGAAATGTTCCATGAGGTTCCAGTTATGGTCAAGGACAACGCCTATATTTTTAGGTCGTAATAATATTGGGATGAAGTGGACCGAAAAAATATTTTTTTGTGTGTTTTTCAAGTCGATCTATAGGCCACAATTGAAAGCCGAACATCACAACACAACCCATGGTGAAGGGAACCTGCACAAGTAATTATAAGGGCTGTACTGAACATTAGTAATATTTGTTGACCTGTAGTCGGTCAAAAGGGCTCCAATATCGCGAAATATTGTTCAAGCTCGGAATATGGAACTACAAATAGTTAGATTTTCGTAGAAGTTGTGTAGGGTATCATATGGTCGGCCCAGTCCGACTATACTGCTCCGCTCATTGGTTTAAATAATAATTTTTCAAGGGCCTAAAACAGGCGTGGATTTTTTAAAGAATAATTTTTCAAGGGCCTAAAACAGGCGTGGATTTTTTAAAGAATAATTTTTCAAGGGCCTAAAACAGGCGTGGATTTTTTAAAGAATATTTTTTTCAAGGGCCTAAAACAGGCGTGGATTTTTTAAAGAATAATTTTTTCAAGGGCCTAAAACAGGCGTGGATTTTTTAAAGAATAATTTTTTTCAGAGGCCAAACAAGGCGTGGATTTTTTTAAAGAATAATTTTTTTCAAGGGCCTAAAACAGGCGTGGATTTTTTAAAGAATAATATTTCAGGGGCCTAAAACAGGCGTGGATTTTTTAAAGAATAATTTTTCAAGGGCCTAAAACAGGCGTGGATTTTTTAAAGAATAATATTTCAGGGGCCTAAAACAGGCGTGGATTTTTTAAAGAATAATTTTTCAAGCCTTTATTTCTCATCATTTATGCCCATCAATATCACACAGGTAGTTATTCCGCCTTTTCAGTTCGGATATTTTGTATTCCGCACTTCACAAATTGTTCACTTTAAACAAATCTGACTCACCTTAGACCATTGAACAATTGTTTGGACTTTTCCAGCAAATGTATAAACTCCAGTACCAACTTTCTGTCCTGTTCTTCTGTGGATTCCATTTTCACCATACCGTTCTTCGATTCAGTTGTGTTATGTTGCTGTCGTTAAAGAACTGTAAATGGACAAAATAAAATAAAACGGACAGTGAGATAGTGCGAAAAAAACAATGTAATAAAATGTCGACGGCACCGAGGTGGCCGGCGGAGAGGTGTAGGATATATTGAAATTTATATTGTAACACATTTCAGCATCCAATAACGACTACAAAAAAAAGATTAATTAAAATTGATAATTGAAAAAAAAAAATAACAATAAAGGAGAATAAAAGAGCAACAATGTCAGTGGGTTTATCGAACACATAGGGATGGAGGGAGAGAGAGAGAGAGAGAGCTTATTTTATATTTCAATATTTATTGGCAATGTTAAGGGCGGCCGGAGGGTTTTACAACATGTCGATATGTAAATTTGTTGCTGTTGCTATTCTGTGTCACATCTAGGAGGAGGCCTAGATTTTGTGTTAATTGTCCGTCTGTCCATCCTTCCATATGGCATTTGTATCTGCATCTGTTTGTCACTTAGTGTTACCAAAACAATATCATTTTCCATTCAATGTAAACTGGCCAAGAAGGCTCTTCTGGTGTTGTTGTTTCTTGTTTTGGATTTCCTTTTCTCCCCCGCCTATTAGTAGCACTTGTAAATGGCAACAATGGCTGTTTATAGTTGTGATGCTGATGGACTAACCGACCGACCGACTGACTGATTGTTGGGCTGTCCCCCCAGTGTTCATTAGTACTATCAACTACTAAACGCGCCTTTATTGTTTAACTGAATGTGAATGACACAGACACAGAGAAATGAATAACAATAACAAAATGAAAAAAATATCGAACAGCAACAACAACAATTGCAAAATGAAACAGATTTTCATTCAAAAACCATTCACCACAGCTAGCGCCTGATTTGAATGCGTCGTTGTATTAAGACACCCTCAGACAATCTCCCACCTCTTTCCCGAGCAACAACAACAATACAAAATTCAATAATTTCTTTGTCTGTCCAAAAGTCTGCTGTCTTTTCCCCTCCACTCTAAGATGATGGTGATGATGACGGAGATGATGATGTTGTTGTTGTTGAAGATGACATCATAGAACCAACCCCATATCAGATTTCCCTCGCAACAATGATTCAAGTTTGATTCAATGGCCCCATGAATCTGCTGTAAAATGGAACAGTGGGTTCTTATTGGACAACTTTGGATTTTCCAGTAGGACAAAAAGGCGTGGATTTTATAAAGAATATTTTCTCAAGGATCCAAACAGACGTGAATTTCAAAAATATTTTTTTTCAAGGATCCAAACAGGCGTGGATTTTATAAAGAATATTTTCTCAAGGATCCAAACATCGTCTCCAGATTCACTTCAGTAGATGAGCGAATTGCTATAATCTGCATAAAAGTTCTTCTATATCAGTCTTATTTGCGCCCATGCTCCGACCGAAGACAAAGTTGAACAGACCAATGACTTATTTTATGAGCGCATATAAACAGCATATGATCGCTGTCATGGCCATAATATTAAAATTCTGATAGGAGACTTTAATCGAAAATCGGAACGGAAAATATCTTTATCCCCACCGTCGGAAAATTCAGCTTTCATGAAGAAACATCCGACAACGGCATGTGGTTGATTGACTTCGCGGCAGCAAAAAACATGGTTCAAGCATCTCGATATACACAAGGTCACCTGGATTTCTACTGATCCAGCAACGAGAAATCAAACTGATCATGTTCTGATAGACGGGTCCAGTGTTTTAGACATCTGATCGATCCGAGGAGCGAATATCGATTCGGACCACTACCTTGTAGAAGCCAAGGTTCGCACTCGCTTTAATGTTGCAGCAAAGGTGCGATCTAACACAACACGGAAACTCGACGTCGAACAGCTGCAAACACAAAAGGTAGCCGAGGTCTACTCCGCTCAACTTACCCACCTACTTGACGAAAGCACTTCTTGTTCCGATAATAGTATAGAAGCACAATGGCAAAGAATTGCCCACTCCCTATATACTGCAGCAAAAGCAACACTTGGGTACCAAAAATCATCACCAAGAAACCCATGGTACGATCAGGAGTGTCGTAATGCTACTGATGTGAAAAACGCAGCGTATAGGGCAACCCTGCAGACAGTAGAAACACGTAATGTAATGGAGAATTATCGGGAGAAAAAGAGAGAAGAGAAACGTGTTTCCGAAAAAAGAAGAAAGAACAAGAAAAACGTGAGCGTGAGCAAATCAAGATGTACAGGAGTCAGAATGAAGTCCGGAAATTTTACCAACGAGTAAAACACCAAACCGAAGGCTTTGGTGCAGGCAAATCCTCCTGTAGAGATGAAGAAGGAAACCTGGTGACAGGTACACACAGCGCGTTGAGGATCTGGAAGGAGCATTTTGAAAAGCTTCTAGTATCAAATAGTGGCGATGAAGAAGATACCCCAGAACCAATAATAGATGACAGTATAGAGTGTATACCACCTAGCCAAGATGAAGTCAGAATAGCAATCAATCGGCTGAAGAATAATAAAGCAGCAGGTGCCGATGGGTTACAAGCCGAACTATTTAAGACTGGTGGTCAGATGCTGGTAAGGAGCATGCACCAGCTGATTAACACAATTTGGCTAGATGAATGCATGCCCAATGATTGGAACCTCAGCATCCTGTGTCCCGTGCACGAAAAGGGAGACAAGACGATATGTGTCAACTATAGAGGAATAAGTCTCCTTCCCATCGCATATAAAGTGCTATCCAGTGTGCTGTGTGAACGATTGAAGCCAATGGTCAATGACGTTATTGGACCATACCAATGCGGCTTCAGACCTGGCAAATCCACCATTGACCAGATTTTCACTCTGCGCCAAATCCAGGAAAAGACCCACGAAAAACACATCGACACATACCACCTATTCATCGACTATAAAGCCGCATTCGACAGCCCTATCCGTTCTGAGGTGTTTAAAGCCATGTCTACGTTCGGCATTCTTGCAAAATTTATACGGCTATGCAGGATAACTTTAAGTAGCACAAGGTCAGGAGTTAAAGTCGGAAAGGACCTATCGGAGCTCATCAATAGCGAACGAGGTTTCAGACAAGGTCCAGATTGTCGTGTGATCATTTTAACATCCTGCTGGAAAAGCTTATACGAGACGCAAAAGTGAACAGAAATGGCACTATGTACACCAAATAACACATGTTACTCGCCTACGCCGATGACATCGATATAATGGGTCGAACATTGCGAGCGGTAACAGCCACCTTTGAACAAATTTAGAAGGAGTCTGCCAAAGTCGGCGTCAAATGAACCACTAGCTTTACAATTTATACGCGGACATCGACATAGTCAGTTGTATTGAGCTGCAGCGATTACGATGGCTGGGTCATGTTGTGCGAATGAATGAGAATGCCCCATCACAAAAGGCATATAAAAGCGATCCCACTGATGATGGTTCCCGTAGAAGGGGAAGGCCACGAATCAGATGGAAAGACCAAGTAGAAAACAACATCTTGGAACGTGGTCCTTCAATTTGGAAGAGATGCGCACAAGACCGAGGCGTTTGGAAATCTTTTTTTAAGCTTGGCTTATGGAACAATCGTCCAGTAAGAAGCCAGCTAAGTAAATAATGTTTTCAAGGAGATTTTTAAAGAATATTTTTCAAAGAGATTTTTAAAAAAATATTTTTCAAAGAAATGTTCAATGAGATTTTTTTAAGAAAATTATTGTAGGAGCCAAACAGGCAAGATCCCATTTCTCGCCTGATACCACTGTGCAAGCTGCTGTGGTCTGCCTATATGTATATTGCGTCCATATGGCTGAATAGTCATTCGTCGTAGTGCATTGAATATCATTCAAGTGAGATGAGTGGCTAATGACTGCTACTACGATGACTACTATCATATACACACATTCATACATACATACGTACGTATGTGTGTATGTATAAATGTGTATATATTCTTCTCATTGAACGGCTGCTTTGGGAAATATGACTACGATTAAAAAAATATTATCATGACGGCAGGGGAGGCGGAATTTTTACCCTTTAAATGACAACAAACAAAATTCTCCAACAACAACGATATGTAAATGTGCCACTTAAAAGTCAATCATAGAATGTTTTTTTTTTTGTTGTTGCTGTTTTTACATTGATTGTTTATTTGGTTTTGATTTCCTTTTGTTTATTACACATGAAAGATAATGACAATCAGTATCCTTTGTTGTGCCCATTGATTTACCTGAGCCTTGTTTAAGGCTGTAATGTCCATTTAGAGTGAGTAAACGAAATAAGGACATTGTTTTTTGTTTTTGGTTGGCTCCCTTATTTCCTTTTTGTGAGCAGTCCTTATTGACGCGTGAATGGAAGCGCAGTGCGTGTGTGTGTTTTTTGCCTGTATGCGAAAGCGTGTTTAAGTATGAAATGCGTGTTTCTAAATGGATTCACATTGATTTCCATTGAACAGCATAATGTAGGTCAATCCACCACATATATGTCCTTAGGGTTGCCACTATTGTTCTATTTTGGAAATCTTGAGGGAGTGGAGTTTTTTTCAATATTTGTTCAATGTGCATGCAGGAGTTTTTGAATTACATTTGTCTGAGTTCTACAATAAACGTGAATTTCTTAAAAATATTTTTCTAAGACCCATCATAGGCGTGGATTTTTTTAAACTATTTAATCCCTTCACCTCACTGTAGTACAGGGTATTATGTCTTTGTGCATATGTTTGTAACAGGCAAATGGAAACGAGATAGACACATGTTTCCTTTTGAGAATCTGCATAGAATCACTTTAGAATCACATAGAATCACTTTCCGTCTGTCCATGTTGAATTGTAAACAAAGTACAGGTCGCACACAGCTCATTTGTTTGGCCCAAGGACGACCCCTATTGAAATTGGGAAAATCGGTTCAGATTAGAATATAGCTCCCATATATATATTCGTCTGATTTAATTTAAATGGTGTAAACATATATACAAATTTGGCATAGCGTACTTTATGATCCGAAAATTGCATGAAATTATATATCTGGCACAGCTCATTTGTTTGGCCCAAGGACTGAAT